CAGTGGGTGTGAAGTGGTATCTCATTTTGATTTTTTTTTTTTTTTTTTTTTTTTTTTGAGACAAGGTCTTGCTCTATTGGCTGGACTAGGGTGCTGTAGTGTTCTCATAGCTCTCTGCAACCTCAAACTCCTGGGTTCAATCCTCCCACTTCAGCCTCCTGAGTAGCTGGGACTACAGGTGTGCACCACCATGCCCGGCTAATTTTTTCTATTTTTTGTAGAGTTGGGGTCCCACTGCGTTGCTTAGATTGGTCTTGATCTACTGTCCTCAAGCAATCTGCCTGCCTTCTCCTCCCAAAGTGCTAAGATTACTGGTGTGAGCCACTGTGTCTGGCCAATTGCATATTCTTGGTGTTTTCGTTATTAACATCTAACATTAGTATCATTCATTTGATATAATTAATGGACCAATATAAATACATTATTACAAACTAAAGTCCATACTCTTTCACATTTCCTTAGTTTCCACCTAGTATCATTTTTCCACTCCAAGATACCATGGTTGATACCACATATTTAATAATCACATCTCCTTAGGCAACTCTTGACTGACTTGTTTTTAATGACCTTGATAGCTTTTAGGGGTACTGATAAAGTATTTTGTACATTGTCCCCTGGTTGGGATTTTTCTGATATTTTTCTTATGATTAGACTGAAGTTATAGTTTTGAGGAAGAAAGATCACAGAGGTAAAGTGCCATTTTCATCACATCATATCTGGGGTGATTGCTATTGACATGGCTTATTAACTTTCATCATCTGGCTGAGATAGTGTTATAGGTTTTCCTCAGTGTAAAGTTACTGTGCCCTACTTTTCATTCTGTACTCATTAGAAAGAAGTCATATGCACAGCCCACACTTACGGAGTGGAGAATTATACCTCCTTGAGGCCAGGATATCTATATAAATTATTTTGAATTCTTTTGTACAGGTTGATCTGTTCTTCCCCATTTACTTGTTTATTTAGTCATTTGTTAGTAATTTTTACTGGTCTGAAATCCAGTAACTTGATTAAGATCTCCAATTTTATCAAAAGCAAAAAATTGGAAGCTTCTTGACTTATAAAAGGGGCCCTTCAAGACATCAGATAGCCAAAGAGGTTCTTGAAGATATACCAATGACTACTGATTATGCTGGTTACTCATTCCTTTAGGTAACTTGTTCAATCCAGTATATTTTGAGAGAGTTGAGAAAATATATATAGTTTGGATTTCAGCACATCTTGCCCCAGTATATTGTTTAAATCAGAAAAAAAGTGTGACTTCCCTTTTTAATTCAAATAAATGTGTTGATACACTGCACCTTGACAACCATCATTCCTCTGAATTCTAATTCTCATGTAGATATATAAAGCATAGGGCCTTGCCATAGTTTATTACCTCTGTGAAATAAGGAATCACCACGTAATTTCTATACTTTCTGCTTAACTTCTTTTTTCTTCTTCTTCTTTTTTTTAAGAGACATAGTCTTGCTATGTTGCCCAGGCTTGAATTGAATTCTTGAGTTTAATCAGTCCTCCTGCTTCAGCCTCCCTAAGTAACTGGGATTACAGGCATTCACCCCTGCACTCAGCTAGCTGCTTATCATTAAGGGGACTCTCCCTCAGGGATGATTGATGTATTTCTTCGCAATAAACAAAGGATGGAGTTAGTTTACTATAATGAAAATATAATTCAAGCAGTCCCAATCTATACATATCTGAATTTATTATACCCTACCATGTACCAAATCTGCTCCTTTTAAAAACACCACTCTGTGCTTTTAACAAAATTATTCATGAGATAGGAAAAACAGGTGGCTCTACTAGGATGGATATTTGTAAATTTCTCTGTTTTTGCACCCTTAATGTTTCATCACCACTGGGCAATGGACCATAAGAATATTTACAATGGGTCAGAGATATGCATTTCTTTTGAAAGGGCAACTGTGGGAAGGGAGGGTAAAAAGGAGAATTGATATATTTCATACACCCCAGGAGCATGTGTATATTAGTTTTAAGACTGTTGCTTCATATAAAGACATCTTTCATGATCATTAACAAAATTAGTATATTTTCTCCTTGCATAACCCTCATATCCCTTACATCACACAATTGTAGCTGATGATTTATATCTTCAAATTTACTTACAACTATTACTTATTTTTTTCGCATCAAATTATAATGACATTCAGTTATAAAAGAAAAAGAAATCAGCATACTCACTCATTTCCTATTCTCTCTCCCCCCTTTCCACTAACTGTTAGGGTTTTTTTGTTTTTTTGAGTCAGGATCTCACTGTGTTGCCCAGGCTCTAGAGTGCAGTGGAGCAATCATAGCTCACTGCAGCCTCAAACTCCTGGGCTCCAGTGATCCTTCTGCCTCGGCCTCCCGAGTAACTGGGACACCAGGTGTGCACAACCATGCCTGGCTGATATTTCTGTTTTTTGTAGAGAAGGGGTTTTAGTCTTTTTTGGGCTGGTCTTGAACTCCTGGCCTCAAGCGATCCTCTCACCTCAGCCTCTCAAAGTGCTGGGATTATAGGCATGAGCCAACTCACCTGGCCTCCTTTTAACTTTTAAAAATTGTTTATTGTCAGGGTTGTAAAGTTTATAGTCTGTACTGTTCTATATCATAATTCCAATTTCTTTCATTCTTACTCCTACTGTTAAATGGACTGTTTGCTGCCCATTCTCTTACTCTGTCTCATCTATTCATTGGCTATAATTTGTCCTGTAGTAATTTCTCCACGAATTGCTCATGGGAGCCAATATTATATTCCCTGAATTTTTACATATTCAGAATGTTATGTGCTCATGTATGTGTATGTGGTGCCATTATAATTTAAAAGAAAATTTGGCTGAGCATAAGATTTCAGAATCAAAACTTCTTTCCTTGAGGATATATGCATTTCTCTGCTGTGTTCATTGTTGCAGTGGAAAAGTTTGGCTACCCTGTTTTTTTCTCTCTTCCACCCCTCTTAGGTGACTTGATTTTATCTCTTTTTGTTTCATTTTCTGAGATCTTTTCTCAGCCCTATTTGTGGATTCAGTTTTTCCCTAGAAAAGGGTTGCATTTTACCCCCTTAAAAGATATTTTGAAATCTTAACTCCCAGTAGAGATTTAAAGCCAAAGAATATCAAGTATTGCCGACAAACACCAGAACCTAGGGGGAAAAAAAGGAAGGATTTTCCCCTACAAGTTTCAGAGGGAACATTAAGCTTACTCAGTTTGTGGTGCTATGTTATGGTAGCCCTGGGAAAACTAATACAGACCAGGGGTTTACTTTTCCAGCTTTGTAACTTGAACAGGCCCAAGCCCATGTCTCCTATCTCTGTGTGGACTTTAAAATCCCAGCACCTAAACATTTAGGCCCTATTTCTAAAGTTTAATAAATCCTTAATATGGCAGAACATCAGTTGGAATATGCTTTTGTGGCTTTCAGCCATCTCTTAATTTTTGGTACCTTGTCTTTCTAGTTTAGTTGTGTTAAATACATATTTTAAAATTTTTATCCTGGCCGGGCATGGTGGCTCACAACTGTAATCCCAGCATTTGAGGCCAGGTGTTCGAGACCAGCCTAAGCAACATAAGAGAGACCCCGTCTCTTTAAAAAAAAAAAATGTAGCCAGGCATGGTGCCATGTGCCTGTAGTTCTGCCTACTTGGGAGGTTGAGGCAGGAGGATCACTTGAGCCCGGGAGCTTGAGGTTGCAGTGAGCTATGATGATTCCACTGTACTCTAGCCGGATGACAGAGCAAGACCCTTTGTCAAAAAAAAAAAAAAAAAAAGAAAGAAAGAAAGAAATGTTTATTTCTTCTTTAACTTTGATTTTGAACATCAAGAAAAAGCAGAATTATTTTCTCCCTTAAAGAAAAGAAAGCAAATTTCAAGGAATAAAGGGAACTTCTGTAGAAATGATGTGCCTTTTTCTATATTGCTTTTTGAGTATTTAGTGAATATGATGTTTGTGTCTCTTAGAATGGAGATGTTTGCATTTCGATTCTTCATCCGCCTGTAGATGACCCACAGAGTGGAGAACTGCCCTCTGAACGGTGGAATCCTACACAGAATGTGAGGTAAGGTATCACATAAGGAAAAATCTTGATTTTGGGGTGAATCTTAGAGTCTCCTTATTTTCTTTGCCCCTAGTAAAGTAAGATTATATATTGTCTTTCAACCTATGCATAAGAATCCTTCCAATGTTTGGTTGTTTCGTCTTTAGCTACAGCTTTAAGAAATATATATGCATCTTTTTTTTTTTTTTTTACTATACTTATATAAATGAATTTGCAGAGGTGTATGTATCATTTTGAAGAGTTGTATTTACTGAACAATAATGCATGTGATTCTCATTTCTCTGTGTTCTCTTTGGAAGAAATTTTCAAATCTGAATTCTTCCTCTTACATCGTCTTTAAGTTCCAGCCTGCTTCTTTGGGATGTCACGACTTCTGTGTTTGTTGCTTGCTTCCTTATATTAGGATTCTTATTCCTTTTTGCAGAAAAACCTTAGTCTTTACAAACTTAAAATTGACTTTTTAAAAAATTTATTTTTATTTTTTTATTTTGAGACAGCCCTGCTCTGTCACTCCAACTAGAGTGCAGGGGAGTCATTTACTGCAACCTCACACTCCTGGGCTCAAGTGATCCTCCTGCCTCAACCTCCCAAGTAGCTGGGACTACAGGCATGCACCACCATGCCTGGCTAATTTTTTCTATTTTTAGTAGAGCTGAGGTCTTGCTCTTGCTCAGGCTGGTCTCAAACTCTTGGGCTCAAGTGATCCTCCTAACCCCGGCCTCCCAGAGTGCTAGGAATACAGACATGAGCCACTGCACTCAGCCTCCACTTTTTGACGATTATGAATAATGCTGCTGTGAACCACATGTACAGCTTTTTGAGTGGTCATATGTTTTCATTTTTGTGGATATAGTTAAGTGTGGAATTGCTGGGTCATATAGTAACTCTATGTTTAACTTCCTGAGGAGCTGCCAGGCTGTTTTCAAATGTGGTTGTACCATTTCACATTCCCACCAGCATTAGTGTTCTAATTTTTCCATATCTTCTTTAACACTTGTTATTGTCTGTGGTTTTTACTGTAGCAATCCCAGTGGGTGTGAAGTGGTATCTCATTTTGATTTTGTCATCAATCTTTTTTTTTTTTTTTTTACAAGGTCTTGCTCTATTGGCTGGACTAGGGTGC